CGAACAATCCGAGATAAACGGGTTATATTCAAAAGTTCGAAACATAGATTAATAAATGCGTCGTGATCTAGGCTATCATAGATTAATAAATGCGTCGTGATCTAGGCTATCAGCCGGGCCGCCTGGGTCACCTTTTTTGCCCGACCGGCCCGGCCGTGCAAGGGGCATAGAAGGTCTCAGCCAAAAAAAAAAGAAAAAACTGAAAAAAAGCTATGTTATGCAGAAAAATAAACTGAACAACGTTTGCCTCAGGGTCACATCGAAATTCTTTACCGAATTTAAAATAAAAAGTAAACGATTTTTTTTTTTTGTGGCCCGGCCGGGCAAGTTGTCCCGGGCCACTCTGGTAGCCTAGATCGTGATGTTTAAAAGAAGAAAGGAATGTTAATTGGAATGAAGAGAAAATTTGTAAATGTCAATGGGTTCTTAACCTAGTCATCGATTTTAAAAGCTTACCCATCCGTCAATTTTTTTGGGTCCTCGTTTTTTTGAAAGGGTGACGACCTTGAGATATCATCATTGAACTGAGGGGCGTCCGATATCTCAGAAGAATGACTTTATTCTGTTAGTATGATTGATCCGGATTCGAACTTTTGTCTATAATTGATGGGTGTATCAAATGCTGAGCTATAGGCCTATTGGCGGTGCATTGATTTTTTTACTTAATTTTTTTGGCGATGCATCGAATTTTCTAACCTACCGATGCAAACTGATTGATGTAGACCGATTTTTTTTTTTGTTTTTTTGGGTCGATTTTGAGACAGATGGGTGTAGGTCGTCAACTGTGGAGGATGCATATAAATAAAAGTATATAGAAAAAAAAAGTAAATGGAATGGATAAGCGCATCGGAATTTTACATGTACATTAAAATAATAATAATAAAAATTAAAATTGTAACATCATGCGCAATCGAGGTGGATTTACTCGATCTACTATGCGTGCACAATCGATTGAAAAAAAGAAAAACATTAAAAAAAGTGTAGAGTGTTGACCTGAAGTATTTACAGCGACCTCAAGTTGTTGTCAACAGAAATTTGTCGTCCTGTACTTTTTAAGTTGCTGTCAACAGAAATGACCATACATGGTAACGAAAGGAGTTCTCACTGCTATCGTCTATACCCGAGTAGAACGCTACATCATTGTCGTCGATGTATCTAGACTGAAATTAGCACAAATACAGTTTCAATGACCGTGTGGCATGCGTTGTATTGGTGGGAAGACGGTGGTAGTATCTTGTGCATGATGATTGTATCTGGTCAATTTGGGGATGAGTAATTAAATTAAGCAAAGCTCGCTGTTCGAGGTTGGAGAGAAATGTGATTATTGGAAAGAAAAAAAAAAACGAGAGAATTGTCAGTGCAAGGAAGATGAGCAATAGCGAATTCAGCAATCAAACAGCATCATACACACAAGACCAGATAGTCGTGACCTCGAACCAAAAGCAGAATTGCATCATGAGTTTCACCAAATAAGAGTACACCAGAAGCTCATAATTGACAATGCTGGAATAGTCTCATCAGCATCATCAATGAAGAACCAATGTTGATATTCTATCTGGCGCTCGGCACCCAGACTACAGATGGCAGATCCTATCTAGCCTAGAGACTACAATGCCGAAGATGACGACAACAGCTCTCCCGAAGTACGAGCAGATAGCGGCCAATGCCGCACGCTTCCAGCACCAGGTATGTCTCTCGCATCACTCACAACCTCGTTCCCCAACACACAGATGCCACATGCACCCAAGGACCACCATGCGCCACACCCAGCCTACAGCAGCGGAGCTTGGCTATGGCTGCCTGCTCCTTCCAGCTCGCCCTGTGAGCGCGGGAGTGCCAGCCAGCTTCAGCGCAGCAGCGCTTGTGCAGCATGCATCCAGCACCCGAATGTCCAATGTGGAGGCAGGCCCTTTGCTATATGGAAGTGGCCTGCCTGCTGCTGCGCTGGGCCTGTCCCAAGAAGCTTCCGGTAGGCCCCGGTAGGCTGAGGCCCAGTCCAAAACGAATCAGGCCCAGGGCCTGTGGTGGTTACTTGTGCCCAACTGTCCTCGGCCTGTGTCTGGCCATATACCGTATCCAGCCCAGGGCCTGCCTTCCATACATGCAAACAGGCGGCCTGGGCCTGGGTGCTCTTCAACCAACTGGCGCTGCGCAACGGCCTGAATTTTCCACAGTTGCGTGGTGACCAAAATAGGGGCCCTCAGGCCCTCGTCGAGCCTGCCTTCACTTAGGGCGGCCGACGTGCTGCACAACAGGGCCAAAAAGGGGCTCATTGGGGCCTTGGCCTTGCATTAGTTTAAAAAAAAGCTAAAAATAAAAATGAAGAAGCCGACTCAAACCACCGGCATCCTTTTTCTTTTTCTCACACTGGTTACCAGGCGTGAGGTCCCACTACGGTCTTCACCCGAATAGAACGCCCGGTCATTATTGCCGTACCTGGACTGAAAGTTGCACCAAATACAGCTATAAGGACTGGGCATTCTATGCGGGTGAAAGACGGTAGCAAAGAGTATTGGATTAAACGCCAAAATCGGGACGTGTTTGTGGAAAGTTGCAGAATATCACGATTGATCTGCTTTTCTGCATCTCCGCGTAAAACCCATCCAGATTCAGGCGCTTTAATCCACCCCTCTTTGCTAGGGGGAGCTTGCTGCAGGAGGCCCGTGTTTTTGCAATTGGTCCGTTAGATTGGTGATGTGACCTCTAGAGCTTTCCTTACCTCTCTTTTCTACTCCCCCTGTCTGTCTGCAGGGATGGACCCTTAATTTTTGTTGGGGGGGGGGGGGGGGGGGAGACCGTATGTCTTAGGAGGTAGTGGTTGGTGGTTCAAGATGAATACATAAGCAGTGTACTGGACTAATTAATTGGGCTAGGAGGGCTGCACGGTTGCTGAACCATCTATTTGCATATTTCAATTCTACACAACATTCTTCTCTTCTTCCTACTCCTCGTCCTCATCTCCTCCTCCTCCTCCTCTTCCTCCGCCTGCTCCTTGTCCTCCTCCTCCTTGTTGTCCTCCTCAGTCGTAAGCTAGAGAGCCCTCTTCTTCCTCTTCCTCTACCTTTTCCTCCTCCTCTTCCTCCTCCTCCTCCTAGCTGGCTCTCCACCTCCTCCTCCTCCTTGCTGGCTCTCCACCTCCTCCTCCTCGTTGTACCTCTTCCTCCTCCTCCTCCTAGCTGGCTCTCCACCTCCTCCTCCTCCTTGCTGGCTCTCCACCTCCTCCTCCTCCTTGCTGGCTCTCCACCTCCTCCTCCTCCTCCTCCTCCTCGTTGTATAACCAGGCCAAATTAAGGAGACCCCTTTTCTGGCGGTCGCCTGGGATTCGCAACTATAATTAAGGAGACCATACAGAGTGACACAATGTACTAATTGAGGAGACCCCTTTTCTGGGGGACGGCTGGGATTAGCAACTACGGATTGTTCAGTGCAGGGGTAATTAACAAGTGCCAGTGATTGGCGAGCATAGGGGTCCCAAGTAGGTTACTGATCAGTACTGGGGACCTCAGACCTCCTCCGTGCATGCCCAGATTCGAACGGGGGCCCTTGGCCACAAGAGCCAAGACTCTTAACCACTACAGCCATGACACGGTGTACGAAAGTGGTACCATATCGGCCGTGATATCCACCCCACCCCTGCATGGGTGTAGTGGCCTAACTCACCCCCAATGTTTTTGGAGAAGGATCGTGCACCACAAATTAATTTTTTTCCTTTTATTCTTTTTTTTGGGGGCGGGGGGAGGGGGGGGTGGGGGGGGATGTACCCAAGTTGAGCAGCTATGGACCTTCTCCAAGCACCATTCCATGTGTTATTTTGTTAAATTTTCTGCATTACTTTTTTTTTTTTTTTTTTAAAGTGTTTCCTCAGCTTTTCTGTTGGCAGAGTGTTTCATCTGGTTGGGAACCGTCCATTATTGTTATTATTATTATTTTTTTCCCCTGAGCCCAGTTCGCTCCCATCGGTTTTGAGCAGTCGAGGAAAATCGATGGTCCTCTGCAATCCTTCGCACCAACCGGCCAGTGATTTCCGGTGAATGATTTTTTTTTTTTTGTGTGTGTTGGAATCTAGGCTACCAGCCGGGCCGTCCGGGTCCTGGGTGGCCAGCCCGTGCAAGGACCAGGGAAGGTCCCAGCAAAAAAAACAAAAACAAAAAAAGTTCCAAAAAATCCGGAAAAAACTATGTTATGCAGAAAAATAAACTGAACAACTTTTGCCTCAGGGTCACATCGAAATTCTTTACCAAATTCAAAATATAAATAAAATAAATTAATAATTTTATATTTTTAAATTTTTATTGATTTTTATTTTTTTTGGCCCGGCCGGGCAAGTGACCCCGGGCCACTCTGGTACCCTAGGTTGGAATTTCATTTCAAGCGGGGCCGCTGGTCAATGATGTTCTTGCAGGCAAGCAATCAACGGCCCTGGAGCAATTTCGGAATATCATATCATAGTAATCATACTATTTAAATAAATATTATATCATAGAACACCAAAACATAATCAGATAATTGTATAAAACCGTATCAAATTAAATCGAACTAAATCTCAAATCAAATCAAGTCAAATCGAATCAACGGGACTCGCTCAGTTGGTACACCTTCAAACTGTTGAAATACAGACCCAAGTTCGAACCCAGACACAATCAGATGACCAGAATAAAATCATTCTGAATTACCTGGGGCCGGTCAGTTCAATGATGATTCATATCAAGGCTGTCGCCCTTTTGTTTTTGAAAAAAAGAAAAGAAAATCTAAGCAAATCAGACCATGTCATATCGTGCGTTTTGGCTGATGATTTATGTCCATTTGATGGATATGATGATCATATCCTCTGGAGTATCATCGATTTCACCTGAGGCTTAGGGGCTCGTTGCACCACTTGCCAACTGAACGTATCTTGGCGGTGTAATGGTCCCTACACATTCAAATTTCAAACTGTTAGTGTTTGGCGAGTGGTGCAGTGAGCCCATCTAGTGCGTCAGTTAGCGCCACTTATAAGTTACTAGATGACCCGTTGCGGCTTCGCCCGCAAAAACAGAAAAGGGAAAAAAGCACAAAAGAAAGAAAAAGCATAAGGAACTCCCCTATCATATGCCGCTGAGCCTTTTTTTCCCTTTATCTTTGAGTGTTTTGTTTGGGGAGCCATTACCTTCGCAGCATCGTTTTTGTTTTGTGATGTGCAAGAACTCTGCACTTTTGTGAGAAAATCCTGTCCATTGTCCCGTTGATGTTTTTGCTGCTAAAGATTCAGATTCAGACTTTGTTTGCTGTGTTCTCTGCATATGTTTGTGATCAACCCATCTTGCATGTATGCATGCCCCGTGCTTGTTGAGTTTTTACGCTATGTGCGCAAGTGCATGCGTGTGTGGGTGAGTCTCACTTTGGTGGGCTCGGATGATGTCATTGACAATTGGCCCGGGGAAGTTGAAGGAAGTCGGCTCCAACTATAGGAGTGACACTGATGTTACGCAGGTTTTGCATTGTATGAATGAAACAATCAGCATTCAATCTGCTCTTTGGCAGTTGCTCTTCGGGTGGGGGACTTCTCGGGAGTAGCATTGACATGAGAGCATCTTGGAGCATTTCCGGGAAGGCAAAATGCAAAGAAGAAACGAAGTAGCACGTGTCAGAGTCACATAACGGACAGCTTGGCACAGTCCCCCCCCAGCTCTCTCTCTCTCTCTCTCACACACACAAAAAAAATAAAAAAAAATAAATCAAAAGACAAAAGACAAAATACAAAAGACAAAATACAAATGACAAAATACAAAAGACATCCTGGCACTTGGCGTGGCTATACCACTCACCAACTGAACGTATCCTCTGGAGTATCATCGATTTCACCTGAGGCTTAGGGGCTCGTTGCACCACTTGCCAACTGAACGTATCTTGGCGGCGTAATGGTCCCTCCACATTCAAATTTCAAACTGTTAGTGTTTGGCGAGTGGTGCGGTGAGCCCACCTAGTGCGTCAGTTAGCGCCACTTATAAGTTATATCCAGTGAAATCGATCCAGGCGGGTGCTAATTGGATTGGACGGGGTTGCGAAAATGTATCTTGGTGTAGTAATGGGCCGTATACATTCAAATTTCAAATTGTTTGCATTCAAATTTAAAATTGTTAGTACTTGCCGAGTGGCGCGGCAAGCTCCCCAAGTGCGTTGGCGAGCGCTACTTTAGTCTTTGAGTGATACCCAGTGAAATCGATGCAGGCGGGTGCTAATTTGAATTCCGAGAAATTGACCGGAGCCATGGCACGAAGTAGAATTTGAATTCCGGGAAATTGACCGGAGCCATGGCACGAAGTAGAATTTGAATTCCGTGACTTGGGGGCACGAAGTAGAATTTGAATTCCGGGAAATTGACCGGAGCCATGGCAAATGAAAAATCTGGCTGCGAATAATTTGAGAGTTGCTAGCGCGAATTGAGTGCCAAGGTCAATTTTGGTCAAAGTGGCCCAAAATCACGCCGGCCTACCGGTAACTGGAATGGACGCCATGTTAAAACGTGGCAGCACAACGCGAACTAAATGTGTGAAATAAATGCGCGAAATAAATGCGCGAAATAAATGCGGCAAAGGAGTAACAAGTTAAGGGATTGGGATCGTGTAATTTGTGGCCATGGACAGGAAAAAAAAAAGGAGATTTGTCTGTTATTTCAACTTATTTGTGCATGAGAGTCGTTTGCCGTTTGTGAAGATTTGGAGTTCACTGAACAGGATTGCTTGTCTCTTTTTTTTTTTGTCTGGTTGCGGAGCATATCCGAGCCCAGATCAGTTTGTTTAATTGGATACACGGGTCCGCTATGCAGCACTCCACATGTATCTGGGCTGCCACGTGTGCCAGATTTATTTGGACTGATGCGAGATGTGCAATGTACTGGGACCATTACCAGGACCAGATACATTGCGAACGTTCTGTACTGGAGTGAGGTCGATGTATGCAACGGGAATAACAGAGATGGCAAAATGCTGAAGTACTGGCCGACTGATTGGTGCTTTTTATTTTTACTTTCATTTAAATCTTTTATTGCCATTGTTATTATTACTGCTGACTTGTTCTCTTCTGATGAATTTTGGTCCCTCTTTGGTCCAATTGCATGCAGGGCCATTCTTGAGACTCTTCCTTGGGCATGTGAATGTGATTGCTGCACGTCGGGATGTACGCCTGAAAGTGAAAGATGAGTACAATAGCTACCGGGTATGAATGGGATGATTCTCTCAAATGGACAAAAAAATACTGTTTTTCTTTTTTTACTTTTGAAAAAAAAGACATTTGGATTGAGAAAGGGAGGTGAGATAAATATCTATCTGCTAATACTTAAAGACAAAAGCGGTCCTTGGAAGACGCCTCCCGTGGGCCCAGGGAGAACGAGTCCCGCACGTCGGTCGGATGGGACAGACGTTTTTTTCCCGTTCGGCGTTTTTGTTTCGGTTCTGGCCTGGGTCGCGGGTTCGAGACCGCTGGATGTTTTGTCGTTTTTTTTTTTGTGCCAGGCCGTGGGTTCGATGTCGCAGTTTCGCGGTGTTTTTTTTCGCATTCCCGCCCTGCGCTTCGACGTTCCCGCCCACCGCTTCGACGTTGTTGCGGTGCTTTTCACGGGCTGTCACCCGCATGGAGTTGCGGGTTTGGAGCCGCGAGGTTGGAGACTTACCTGCTCTCTCTCTCTCTCTCTCTGTGTCTCACATGCCAGCGCCCCGCCTGCCGCAGCATCGAAAACATGGAAAT